TTTTTTTCTTCGATCAAGACGGTGTTCAAAAATCGAGAGTACTTTCTGCCACAGCGTCTTGCTATCCGTTTTTGGGAAATACCTGTTGAAATAGCGTATTCATAATAGAAAAAAATATTCAGAGAAGCATATGCTAACTCTTTTCCTTTGATGACGATCAGATCATCCTTAACCTTTTCTGGCGATTTCAACCACTCCAGCGCCTTTTTCGCCCATTCATCACTCCATGCCTACAAAGAAAATGTTTCTTGTGATTTGAGTGATTCCTTGCTAAGCAAGGGAAACCACTAATAAGACTAACCAGCTTGTCGTTGTACCTCATGTTGAGAGTCTTGAATGACTCCACTGTGTCCTCCGGGAAAGGTTTTTCCGAGCCTGGAAGACCTGCTTTTTCGTTTGATAAAGCTTTATGACTATGATTCGGAGAGGATTATGATTGGCTACAAAGGTTGTCTAAACGACCCACTTATAGTAGCGACATTTTCTAGAATGAGAAGCAGTGGTATGAACGTCGATAACATTTCGAGCACGACACTTGCCTCTCCAAGTCTCCCATTTATAGAAAACGGTGACGTACTCTAGCTGCATCTGCATCCACCTGAAATTACATTTGCTTTTCAAAAAAATTGGTTCGCAAGTGTGCTTTTCAACAAATAAAGCATCTGCAGCAAAGAATCAAAGTTATTATCTTGCTGGGCTGTCAATGCTCTCAGCTGTAATACTTCAGCAATGAATGCATGAATGGAAAATTAGTTAACCAGTTGGTCTGAATTACTGTGCCATCGTATACTGACGGAGTCACTACGTTGAACTCAGATGCAGGACACCTTTGGTCATCGCAGGAAACATGGGATACTATGAAGGCATGCACAACCAAGCAACCCCGTTTCCCATGGTTTGAAGTAGTTAGAGATATGCAGTAGGATCTGGTACTCAAGAGAACTGCATATGAATGTATTGACGTAACAAAAAGTATAGCTGCTCTGCATTGTGCGCGCGGTTTAAGCCAAAATTTGAAGTTCATAGACAATAGTGGACGACTTGTTCGGCGAATATTATAAGACCTGTATGTCCCTCGTTTGCGCAATGAATAAGGTTTCCATGGAAAATCTCGAATGTGCATTTGGCTTAGGCAATCTCAGATACTTCGAAATGCTCAGCGAGAATCAGGATGGGAACATAGATCCATTTCACCGTACCCTATCTGTCGTAGGAATCTGGACAATAGTTACAGTAGTGTATTTGCAGTCGAGTGAAACACATTTGTATGGGATGAATCAAGGCTAGTTTGAACTGGTCCTGAGGTTTATGGTGTTCGTATTGTTACACGATTAGCTCCTTCATAATGCCATGCTTCTAGAATCGAGCCTTCCAATTTATTTATTTATCTATTTATTTATTGAATGCGCTCAATAGGCGCGCTACAAAGGGAAGCTCGAGCCGCAGGTTCTTCATTACAAGAGAGATTAAGAGGTAAGAGAAACAAAATTAACGAAATGATCAAACAGAAAAATTCTTGACAGGAAGGCCTGTAGGACAGGGGGTTCATAGACCACTTTTCAACTTATTGGATCAGACTTCACTACTGAAGCTCAGGAACGAACCTCTGACAGTCTATCACATCACACAAGATCAGCGCACTGACGTGGCTGCAGAACACAATATACAGAAGCCGAACGCAGCACAGACCCGCACCAGTCGGCTATGGTGCCCACTCGCCACACCAGGGGTCATAGGAGCTCAACCGAAACTCCGAAACACGGGTATACCGACATCCCACGTGGAATCGGTGAGCTAGGAGAGTGCGACGGGTAGGCCACCGAATAAATGTGCTGAGCAACCACAAGTAGGGGATCCGTGTGAATTCATGTCATGATAGATAAGATCAATGGTGGGCCATTGAGGGAAGAGTGTGATGATCCTCGCCCCAAACACCTGAGAGGATATCACATGACAAAACTAATCACAAAACAACATGAACCACTTGTCCGCTAGGCCTAGAACAGCAGGAGGAGATGTAGTGCTATACAAGGATATTCTGAACAATACAGCATATCAGCATTCATACGTAAGAAGTCCAATTTCATGAAGGAGACAGCTCTTACTCAACGACTCGGGATTTATTAAGGTCAATCCAGTCGACATAGTTACCAAATACGATGAGGCAGTCAAAACATTCTCAGTAGGTTCATCCATTAACGAGGCTAGACAGAAGTTGTTGATAAAGGAGGCGGAAAGTCCACGAGGGTTGCCACCATAG